CGCCAAGGCCTTCGCTGGCTGTACATCTAGGTCCTTCGCCAAGGTGGTCCGCGACTTCCTTCGCCGAAGGTGACATCGCCCTGGCTGCTACGCTGACGGGGTGCCTCTGGGGTGTTGTTCACGCTTGGAGCCTTCGCTGGTTCGACCCTGCTACCGCGAGATATAGTGGTCCTCCATGATGTTCATAATTTGTCGCATCATGTCTTCTGGGATGGTCTGCGACGCAGGTCGCCGGTGCTTTATCTGGCGTGTTAATGGAGGGGTCCACCGAAAATCGTCCGACATCAGTGTAGAGGCATCAGGCTGCATGGTGATCTCTGCTGATGTCGCTGTAGCTGTCACCGGTCGCTTCTTGTGGCGATCGCCGGGATGATGATCAGCTGATCATCGAGAGGTCCAGGTCATCGGCTGGAACAATCTCGCTGAGAAAGTCCTAGTAGACTTCGCTGATTTTCCTCAGAGGTCGACGCGCTGCCCTGGGTGTGCGACGCCTGCGCTGAGTGTTGGTAATGATGGGACCCTCAGGACGATCATCGATATCTGCGCTGGTACATCAGGCTGCATGCTGATCTGAGCCGACATCGGGTCAATCTTTGATGTACATCTGGTATGATGACCGGCTGATCATCATACAGGCCCAAACTGCGATGGGAACGGTCTCGCTGTTGAGATGTGGTAGAAAACCCTCTAGTCTTCTGCTGCGACGATGGGATGTCTGGGGAAGCAGGATGCTTCTTGAGATGGCGGACTACGCCCCACACCTCTCCACCACTCTAGCGAACACCACACGGAGGGGAGTCGGCCAACAGCAGTAGACTGGCTTAGGGTTCCGTGTATCAGTCATACTAGACTCTGCATACGCCGACCTATCTGCTGCGCGCAAGCAAACGCGCAAGTAAATATTAATAAAAGGTAGAATTGATAAATTAGTACCGCGAACTGCAATGTGAATATAATAAACATGGCTACCGCATATCATATTAAAGGCGGATCAGCAGCAGCATAAAAACGAATCTGCAATAGTACAGAATTTTCATCAACGTAATCCACTGAAACAAACACGGCCCCGTGAATAAACTGTAGAAAACGACTAAATATCAATATATAATCGCTGAAGGATACTAGCTAAACCTCTATAGATGTCTATACGAGGTAACTAACTAAATATAATTCAAAGGATATAGTGTGTCGGAGACACAGGCGCTCTCACGCCCAGCCTACTGGGCTAAGAAGGAGAGAGTGAGGCACATGGGTAGAGGGTGCTCGCTCCCCGCCAGTGGAAAGGGAGGTAACTCGTGGTGAATACTAATTAGTGATTTTAAATTGAAGGGAGCTTCAATTAGGAGATATACAAGTGTTCCACTATGTTCGCAAGAAGAAGAAGACAAGCAAAAAGAGCATGAGTCAGGATAAGGAAAAGCCTGGTCAATATTGTATCTAGATCCCTGTATGATTCAGAAAACTCTCCACAAGATTGAAGAACAAGAAGGATGGCCTGAACTTGGAAAGAATCATCTTTCCCACTATGACAGCAATATTCTAGCAAATCCAACAAGGCACAAGCTCATTCAGTGTGTTATATGATGCTTGCTCAAAATTTATTTGATCAATGTTGCCTCATTCAAGAATTTGACAAAGCTTTCAAAAAGTCTTACAGCACATGTGCATGCATCAGTGAACAAATTGATGTTTGATTCAATTTCTTGTACCAAGTGTTCTCATGTTTGTGTTTCTAGTGAACAATTGCCTTGCCTTGGCCTGTGTTTGTAATGGGTGCCACACAAAAGGCAGGATATGATCACTTTTTGCAAACACCTGGTGTGATCAATATTTGATAGTTATTCGTAGCTACCTGCTTATGAATTAGGCAGAATTATTCAACCGATTCTGCATTAAGACTTCTTACGATCATGGAAAGGGTTTTGTTATTTAAATTTACAAACAGATTCTGATGCTAATCTATAAATTGTAATCTGACCCTGAGGTCGATTTTTTATTTCCTAGCTGTCAAATTATCATGTTCAGGGAAAATCTGGTTCAGAAATAAAATATTTGATTCAGAAAGTGCCCAGTTTTAACAGGCAAACAACATGTTTTCCTAAATAGTGACTATAACCCATCTGCCTAAAAGGAAGATGCCCTTTCAAATTTTATGTACAATCTATAATAACCTACTACAGGTAGCAGTAGTATACAAGATGGGTTCCTTGCCACAATCCTCTCATTGTGCCCTTTCAGTCGAATTTTAGGGGTGCTGGGAGCCGAATTCAACCGAAAAGGGCACGATGAGTGAACCCCATCGTGTATACTACTCTAGCTGACACACTACACACAGAAACAGGTATCATACCACTGTTAACATCACCATCATTCATATCAGGATTCATATCAGCTATAAATACACAGTAACAATCGTTCCAGGCATTCTTGGCGACCGCTCTCTGACCTTTACAATCCCTGTAGAAACTGTAACTGACAACAAATGTGTTATAAAGTTCATTTGTTATATGTTTGATACACATACATTTTACAGAAAATGTGAACTGGATTAGTAAACAAGTAATAACTTAAGGTAATACTCTTCAAGATTACACACGATAACACTAAATATGTATACAAGGTCAAGGTTTGTTTTATGATTACAAAACTGGCAACAAGTTTCACAAGTTGTAAGGAAACAGTGTAATGACAGAAGCATATCATTTAACACTAAAACATTGTAAATGTTGCGGATTTACTGATTGGTGAATCTCACTGATGTATCAATACATTCATAGACAGATTTCCAAACTTGTAATTTTGTTGCATTGGAATTTCCAGGCAAGGAGACAAAGTCATCAATATCGGCCGCAATGGCAAAATACTCTTCATGAATATGTCTATGAGTTATGATTATGTTAAATGTTTTGGTGTGATATAGAAACGTTTTAAAAGTTCTGCTCAAGAAAGGAGCACTACCACCTGTTTCAGTCTAAGTCAAACTTGATGGCATGGAAATACAAAGATATTTTATTCAGAAATCCAAAAGAGCTACCAAAAGGCACCAGTACACCACCAGACCAATCTATGTGCCAAGTTTGGTGGAGAAATAGTGAACTTGTTTCAGAGTTCTGCTCCAGAAAGAGCACTACCACCACTTTCAGTCAAGTCAAACTTGTTTGCTATGGAAACGCTAAAAATATTTAATTCAGAATACCAAAACTACCAAAAGGCACCAAGACACGGATGTGTCACCTAAACACTAGAAGTGCCGGTTACTTCCTATAAAGAAGTAATTTCAACAGGAAAAGAAGCCATGAGAATCTTCGTTCTGGTTGCCAGAGGAGCAAATAGGATTATGAAAGATAAATCTTTGAAATCAGTGGGCATTAAGATCACTACAGCCAAGTCTTAGACGGGAGTGAATCTAAATCCTAAGATAAGATTGAAAAAAAAAGAAAACACTTTTTACATCAGTTTTTAAAACTGTCCATAGTATCAGCTTCAGTAGGAAGTTCAAAAGCTTTTCCTTGTCTGGTAGAAAGAATTCAGAGATATTTGTTGTTTTGAACTTGATAGTTTTCAATTTCTTACTATTTCTGAGGTTGTGACTGCTAGCTTCTGACTAAAAGTGGAACAATATCACAAAGATAGACAGGTACAAGACTATTGATAATTTTTGTTAAAGTCTTAAATTTGTGGATATGTCTTCCTTCACTTAGTGGCCTTAAGTTTATTTTTTTATACATGTTGATGTGAACAGCCCCACATATGGTTCCTAGGTCATCTTCATTAAGATTGTCGAGTCTTTGTAACTGTTTTAAGCAGAAGTTGTCCCAAATCATATACTATTCTCCTAGAGACTGACATTAATATTGTTTATAGTCTGTTTTTTTATATTACTTTTCTGTATTTCATCATGCTCCTTTTAGGAGGCTTGTTCAATTATTTAATTGACTCCTGACTCAGTTTAGTTTTAAGCCGCTTTTAGCAATATTCCAGCAACATCACGGCGGGGGACACCAGAAATGGGCTTCACACATTGTACCCATGTGGGGATTCGAACCCGGGTTTTTATTAATAGGAACTTAACTGAACTTTGAAACATGATCATTTGTTTGTCACGATTTCATACAGCATTGTCGTAGATTCAACCTGATTCAACCAAAATAAAAAATGTATCCACCCCAAAATAACGTTTTCCTAAGGGCAATCTTTTTTCATTCATCTTTGGATCTTTGAACTCGGGTTAAAGTGATACATTGGTTTAAAAACCTGTGCAAGCAGCTTCCTTTTATGTTTAGAAGTTGTCAGGCTTTAATTAACTTACTTCTATGTCACTCTGTTCCTGACAGGTCTACTACACATTACCAGTACCGCCAGAGAAGGGGGAAGGGAGGGGGAGCTCAACCGAGTCTGTGTATGGTCACGTAAACACTCTAATCCCTTCATGACTCAGATGGCAGCGTCTGGCATGTCAGCATGCATTACTTATGTGATTCAGGAAGTGATTTGACTGTGAGCTGGGCATGACCGGAGCTTTTACAGATGTTGGTATAACCACTTTCCCTCACCCCATTCCTATGTCTCCCCAGGCTTACGGCTTCTGAAACCCTTCCCACCTGTTTTTGTCCCACCCCCATGTGTTGTGTAGATCTCCCTTCTCCATCCGGATAGCTTGAATTCATCCTCAAACCCTTCATCTGGTGCAACTCTCCCTCTTCTTGTCCTCAACCATCATGCAGACTCCGCATCCCAACGCTCCTTGTCCTCAACCATCATCCTGACTCCCCATCCTAACAATCTTTGTCCTCAGCCATTGTGCAGACTCCCCACCCCTACGCTCCTTGTCCTCAGCCATTGTGCCGACTCCCCACCCCTACGCTCCTTGTCCTCAGCCATTGTGCCGACTCCCCACCCAACACTCCTTGTCCTCAGCCATTGTGCCGACTCCCCGCCTCCAACACTCCTTGTCCTCAGCCATTGTGCCAACTCCCCATCCTAACAATCTTTGTCCTCAGCCATTGTGCCAACTCCCCATCCCAACGCTCCTTGTCCTCAGCCATTGTGCAGACTCCCCACCCCAACACTCCTTGTCCTCAGCCATTGTGCAGACACCCCACCCCAACACTCCTTGTCCTCAGCCATTGTGCTGACTCCCCACCCCAACACTCCTTGTCCTCAGCCATTGTGTCGACTCCCCACCCCAACACTCCTTGTCCTCAGCCATTGTGCCGACTCCCCGCTCCAACACTCCTTGTCCTCAGCCATTGTGCCGACTCCCCATCCTAACAATCTTTGTCCTCAGCCATTGTGCAGACTCCCCACCCCAACACTCCTTGTCCTCAGCCATTGTGCAGACACCCCACCCCAACACTCCTTGTCCTCAGCCATTGTGCTGACTCCCCACCCCAACACTCCTTGTCCTCAGCCATTGTGTGTCGACTCCCCACCCCAACACTCCTTGTCCTCAGCCATTGTGCCGAATTTCGCTCCAACACTCCTTGTCCTCAGCCATTGTGCCGACTCCCCATCCTAACACTCTTTGTCCTCAGCCATTGTGCAGACTCCCCACCCCAACACTCCTTGTCCTCAGCCATTGTGCAGACACCCCACCCCAACACTCCTTGTCCTCAGCCATTGTGCTGACTCCCCACCCCAACACTCCTTGTCCTAAGCCATTGTGTCAACTCCCCACCCCAACACTCCTTGTCCTCAGCCATTGTGCCGACTCCCCGCTCCAACACTCCTTGTCCTCAGCCATTGTGCAGACTCCCCACCCCAACACTCCTTGTCCTCAGCCATCATGCTGACTCCCCACCCCGACGCTCCTTGTCCTCAGCCATTGTGCCGACTCCCCACCCACACGCTCCTTGTCCTCAGCCATCGCACTGACTCCCCACTATTAAACTCTCCCATCTGCCCCACCTCCATACCCTCACCAGCCATCCCCTCCTCTACATTTTAACCTGTTCCCCACGCCCATTTTCTCCTGACGTCAATTGGAGGACATAAGTGGCTGCCCCCACATTCCATGGAATTGTGTCATAAACAAGTGTAACTTGGAATCTGGGAGTGGAATATTTCACAGGTACCCAAACCATATCAACAACAACAGGGAGGGAAAACAAAATGATAAGGCTGTCACACAGTTTCTGGCCATGACAGGTCAAATGAGGAAAATCTTGTCAGTTCATTAAGTTCATATCATAAGCGATTATGACGCCTCCGTGGTGTAGTGGTTAGAGCTGCCAACCCAGAGAGCGAAGGTCGCGGGTTCGGGATCCCCACCCACGCCATACCAAAAGAGACGTTAAAATATGGTACTTTGTTGGTCCCTGCCTGGCTTTGGCATTAATGGGTACAACAAGGACTGGTCGGCTCTGAGTCAGTATAATGTGTCTGAGTGGGTATTCATGCTTCACTCGCGTGCATGGTATCTCAGTGGGCTAGCACTATAAAACCAGCTTCAGTCTGGGCTAGTACAAGCAGCCGCACATACACATACACACGCATGCACGTCGTCATATGAGCGAAATATTCTCAAGCACGACGTAAAACCCAATTTCACCTCACCTCACCTCACCTCACCTCATAAACGTTATACCTGAAGGCCAAAGACAATAGTGTTATACCTGAAGGCAAAAGACAATAAAAACAATCCTGAAACAAACTGTAATCATTCATGAGTTTAATTCAAGGTTAAACATATTGCAACATCTGAGTGATGAGGCTCCTGACTCAAAGCCCAGAATAATATGATTTTCTCCTCAATTCAAAACGCTCAGTTCAAGGGCAAAATGCTGCAACATGTGGACGCTGATCAAATGTTCATTTTATCGACAAGCACCTTTGTCAAATGCAAGCAGTATCAAGTGATTACCTATTGAAGACTGTCTGGAATACATTACAAGCATTAACG